TTTTTTTCTTTTGTTTTCTTTTTCTTTTTTTTTTTTTTTTTTTTTTTTAGACGGTCCTGTGAGGAGAGAAACGGCGTTCCGCCAGCGACCACGGGCGGCTGAGAGGAACTGACAAGGGGGGGGCCGGACCGTTGCAAAGGCGCGAACGCCGCGCGCTCCGCTCGCGCATGCGCGGTCCGGCCCAACTACGGCTATGGAAAACTTCCGATCAGCGGCGCCGGGACGGGACCCGACACCTGGAGTGGAGCACCCACGGGGACCACTCGAAGAAGAACTTGTATTACACATTTTTTATCTACTAATCTATTTATACCTAACTTACACACTTATTCATATTCTTTTGTTCAATAGATTTATGCCAACTTCATGTTACATACAGAATACCATCTACAATAAAAAGGAACTTCTCTGGAATACACTGTAATATAATTCTGTGAGCATAATAGCCCAAAAATTTGATAGCAAGCAAGCTTTTCCCAGCTTATAAAACTGACTGTGTCAAAGTGCAACTAGAGAAAATTAATAAAATTTCTATTAGTTCTTTATAGTTAAATTCAGTTATCTAACATGGCAAGACACACATTAAAGTAAAATTATCAACCACCTACCGCTGATTCACAAAAGGAGTAGAAAACTCTGCAAGCAGACGGAAGTTACCAAAATATGCCAATATTCCTTCACCCTAAACAGCAAGATAAATATTAAAAAGATGAATCAGGGATGCAAACTTTAATCAGAAATTTAATCTGAAGAATGCATTGACTATTTTCCTGTTGTTAGTTTCCCAGCATTTGTAAAAAAAATGTAGGATCTCAAATCTTTTATTACATCTAATGCTGCTGCCCTTTGATTTTTTATATTGATAAATTAAGAAACACCAACATCAATTAAAGACGATTCATCTCAGAAGTCTGTCAAAATAGGATAATATTCCATTAATAATGAAAAGTGCTGTTGGTCTAAAATATGAAATAAGTAAAGTGGGACAACTAGTTTTAATTCCTTTCCTAAAGTCACAATTGGATTTTTATACAGTAAAAAAAAAAAAAAAGAAAAACATTGGACATATGTACACCACATTTAGAGATCACTGGCTTGTGGAAATCCTCTAGAAATACAGTAAAAAGTGGAAAACAACAGGCAATAGTTTTTGGCTGTTTTATCTTCTTCCTATGTGCAGCAAACTACAGCTAAAAGTTATGATCTAGTTTTGAGCAGAGCATGATTTATTTTAAATATTTTTGCAGCTGTACGTTATTCTAATAATTTATATTAATTTATATTATATATCTGATTTAATTATGAATTTTAATTAATCTCATTAAACCAATGATTTCCAAATCATATCCCAATCACAATCAAAATAAAGTTTGTAATTAATCCCTTTTCCTTCAGTTTAACACATTTTCCATCTGTTTGTCCCTCTTTCTTTCAGTCTTTTTTTCCTACTTGCAGTCCTTTTGGATAGGGGCTATTCATTTGCAAATGGAGTTGATGCACATTTCCATTGCAAAGTCACACTACTGGGGAGTATATACTTAGGCACAAGCAACCCCCAAATCATCTAGACAGCAATTACCGCGTAAGCTCTATTCATGTCCCCACATAGACCTAAAATGTCTAGTGCAAAAATTCACAGAATTCGTCATTCCTTTCACCAGATTCAGAACATTGGGTAAGGACTTCAAAGAAGTGGGATTTGCAGAGGCCATCTATTGTCAGTTCTCCATCAGGAATTGCCTTTTTATATCCCCTCTTGTATCTAAATTCCTAGATTCAAAAATAAGTTGCTGCAGCTGCTCCATTTCAAAGTCTACTAGATGCAACAAATCTGAAGCCTTTTGAAGATCCAAAGATAATAGTAGTAGTAGTGGTATAGAAAAAGAAGAAGAATGGCTCCAATGCTATGGCTAGGAAATCAGATTACCAAAACAAACAAAAAACACACAAAGAAACCAAGATGTAATTAGGGACAAGTCCCAGGCTGCTTTCCTTTACTGATGAGCCAAGAAAACAAAGGAATCTGTGATAAGGCATGCATCCAACTACCCTTTGCTGAGGAATATATCCCTTCCAGTTTTCAAAACAGAAAAGAGGGCATTTGCAGTTGACCTTGCAGGCAGTTGGATCCAATTTTGCAATCCCTATTTCCTTGAAGATTATGATTGCCACTTGCCTATTTAAATACCGCTCATATTAGATACAACAACAAAGTTGTTTTCCCTGCTTCAAGCAGTACTGTCCCCAAAGGTGTGCTGGCAGCTCAGGGATTTAAGAGCCTCATTCTTAGCAGGGGAGGTAAAACATCACACTTATGTTGTCTGTCTGAACTTGTATTTTAAAGACTAACAAGATGGTTTAATAGGTGATGAGCTTTTGTGGGCCAGACCCCCTTCCTCAGATCATATTCCGGAAGAGAATTGGCATGACCATATATACCAAAGGAATACAATGAAAAAAGTGAATACATTATTAAACTGACAAATCAGATTTAGTACAGTTTTTCCTTTTGTTTTAGCAAGATCAGATTAACACGGCTACCTCTCTATTACTATTGAACTTGTATTGGTGAGGAATTACTAATCTGGTAATTAGTACCTTGTTAAAATGTTTCTGATGGAATCCATTTTGCCAACCATTAATAAAGACAGGAAACGGTACCTCAAAGCTGTGCGGAATGCCTATTTGAATTATTTCAAATTTCACAATCTGTGGAATCTCTAGGTTCCAGATTTCATATCCGTGAATGATAACTTTTGAGCTGGCATTGAATTCTTGACTTTCTGGTACTGGTATTCACCAATACAAATTCATAGAAAGTTTTCCTAAGATTAAAAACAATTCTAAAATAAAATCTGACTGTACTAAGATCCTGATTCAGCAAGATACTTAAGCACATCAAAGTAACTACCCACAAGTTAAAAGTTAAGCATGTGCTCAAGTGTTTTGCTGACTCAAAGTCTAAGTTACCTAAGTGTCACATTTTAAACTGAAGACATTTAAGTTTTAGGAGTGGGGGCTGAGAGACATTGAAATGTTCTTCTTAAGCTACAGCATTTTAACTCTTGGCATATTTTTGTACAGATAAGCAATAAACTTGCAGAGAAAATATCTTCACATTACAGAGAAAGCCATAGTCTTAACTTTCTAAAAACAGTCTAAGCAGCATATACAGTAATTTATTCTTTGAAAGAGAAAAATCGTCAGTTCAAAACTTATACTGTGTCATTTAACTTAAACCCTAACCTGGTGACCAAAAAATAACATTGAGAAATACTTTATAGGATGAGTCATTGTAACCTAATTTACTGAAACTGCAAAAACAGATTAAAAAACAACATGTGCTTCCATTATGTAGATCAATACATTGCTAATATTAGTCTGACTTTTAAACAACTTACATACTAAACCCTATTTCAGCAGCCAAATGGGAATTGACCTTGCTGAGCTACTGAAGCCAGCAGTAGAGTCCATCAGGTGCTTTCAATACTTCCCAGTTTCACAGTTTAGCTAAACCCATTCTGTTTGACTTGTTTGCAGATGAACAGACACATATAACAGAATTCTGGACATGAATATATAGGCTACCAGTGAAAGTCTAATTAAAGGATTTTAGTATAACAGAAGATTATACCCTTCCTAATCTATGTGGGATTTAAGGTCTTAAAGTAAGTGTGCCTGTGTGTGCTTAGGAATGCCTATGCAGCCACTGGGAGAGTACTTCTCGGTGTGGATAGATAAACACTAACTCTGCTCAAGCCAGTGTGCTAAAGATAGAAGTGTTGCCACACAAGTCTGTACCAGTGTTCCCTCTAAGATTTTCCATCTGTGAACGGAGTGAGTTTTGTCTTCTGCACCAATATTGATGTCATGTGTGCTTGTTTGGATGTGTGCCACTATGGCATCCACCAGTTACTAACAAAAATACATATATATATTTAAATTGTTATGGAAGAAAGCCCCACTTACTGTGCAGATGCATTAACTCCTGCCTCATCTTTTGCCCTGTTACGCAGCTAACCACGCTGTCTCCTCATCCCCCACCACTGCTCTCCCTTTCTTTAGCTACCCCTAGCCCCCCTGTGACTCTGAACAGTCCCCACCAGCCGCTCATTCCATTACAGCCACTTCACTCCCTGCAGTTGGACCCATGGAGCTTAGACAGGCTTTGGACTGGACGCTGGGAGCAAGCATCTCAGCAGCACTAGGCTTGTGTTTCTTCTTGGGCAGCTGGCCCCACTTGGTGACTCATGTTCCAGCCTGAGCAACTGCCTGGAGCCAAACACCCTGGGGATTTGGGGGGGAAGGGGTTGTACTGCAGCGGGACATTTCTTTGGTTTTCCACATGGGGGTGGGGAGGAGGACAGCCCCTGGCATGAACTGTGAGGACACTGCCTGGGGAAGATGCGCGAGAGCGTGGGCCCTATACTGGAATATTGACTGCACTGATATGGACCAATGAGTTTAAACACCCTGCCCCACCTGCAGCTTCCTCCAGACACTACAGAATCTCTGCATTCCCTCCACCCTTCTGCTGTTTGGGTCTTTCTAGCCAGAGGCCAGGTCAATAAACCACCCCAGGCCAGGCAAACAAAAAATTCCTCAGTGGCAGCAGCCTCCTGCCAGTCACGCAGCCCCAATCCCCAGCAGCAGGAGCTGCCTGCCAGCCATGCAGCCACAATCCTTGGAGGCAGGAGCTTCCTTGCCTCAGCCCCAGCCCCGGCGGCAGCCAGAGCAGCCAGCCCCCAACACGAAGCCCCAGCCCTGGGAGCAGCTGGGGCCATGGCTCTGTGACAGCTGCTGGCGCTGGGATCGCAGTATTACAAAAGGACTTGAGCCAGGGCCAAAGTCCTATTTTCAGCACTGAGGTCCCAGCCCCAGCAACCACCATGCAGCCATGGCCCCCGATACTCCCAGGGCCGGGGCTGTGTGGCGGGCGGCTGCCCCGTGTGCCAGGACTTGAGCCAGAACAGCGGTGCTATTTTTTAGTACTGCAACCCGGGCTCCAGCTCCAGTAGCTGCCACATGGTGGTTGCCCAGCTTCTCCTGGGGGGGGGAAGCCACCCTCCACATAGCCCTGCCCCTGAGAGCAGCTGTGCCACAGCTATGTGACTCTGCTAAGGGGGTAGGCGGGACTGAAATTTTTTGTGTGCGCCCGCGCAGGTGCACAACTTACAGGAAACCCTGGCGTGTACCTAAGTGAGAAAAGGGGTCAGCAAGGTTTGTACTTGGATGCCTAGCCCGAGCCATCATAGACACACTACTATTTTTAATGCACAAGCTCAAGCATAAGCATGTCAGTGCATGCATGTCTAGCCAGGCTCAGAAACATGCTCCCAGCTGCAGCATAGGACGTATCTTTATTTATATGCAGAAATATAGAAACTGGGATTTCCTGGGGCAACACTATTGAAATACATGTTGAACCTCTCTAGTCCGGCACTCTCTGATCTAGCAACATCTGTGTGCTGGCATGATTTTAGTTATCAGATGTCAACATATCATGAGTGTGGTCAAATTTCCTGCAGTCCCATAAAGTTTGTTTACAGCCACTAGTCCTGGCTCTCAGTGTTTTGTGCTGTTATTTAGCTCTAATTTACCCCTAAATGTCTTATAAGAGCCCAGTAAATGGTGGAAGTGTTGGTAATGCTGCTAGAAAATATTGACCTCCCATGGTCCAACAAATTCTGGTTCAGTGCCAGTCAGGTTCCAAAGGTACTCACCAATACAAAGTAGTAAGCATATAGAGCTGCCAAGTGATGAATTACAAAAAATTTATCACCAATTGCCTTCCAGTAGTATGTAATAAGGAACAAATCTGTAAGAAAAAAAACATGAAATTATTACAACATAAGCTAAGAACTATAATATTTCTCTTTAAAGCTTTCAATATTACTGCAATCTAAAAGGGAAAACTTGTTGGTTAACTGAGCTATGCATATATTTTGAATGACAAATGGTGTCCAACTCAAGCCACAAAAAGAAAAAAAATCTGAATTTTCTTTGAATTGAGCATTTCTAAACTCAAGATTTTTGCATTCCCCAATCTCTGGAGGGACATTAAATGTGAAAGGAAAAAATAGGCCAAAGCACTGGTTAAAATATTATCATTCTTCCAAAAATATTCATAAATCTTAATATTCCCTACATGAAGCAGCTGAGCTGCCTGGACACAGCTTTAACAAGAGTTATACTGTTACACTGTAAGCAAGAGTAAATCCAGGGAACCCCTCGCCCTCTCAGTTTTAGGCCCTGGTCTGGAAGAAGACTCATGAATCCACAAAAATTGTATCAAGAGACCCAGAGAGAAAGGGGCTTGAAGGCACTGCCAAAATATGATGAGGTCTACTATGGGAATGAGCAGCAGATGTTATTAACAAGGCAAGGACCCCTAATGCTAAAAACATTAGCCCTTTGATTTGTTGGTTTAATTTATTCATAATCCATAGTAATCACAAAAGATAAATAATTGGACATAGGTTATAATTAAGAACAAATAGTTGCATGAAAGAGAGCACAATTATATTTAAGGATGACAGCCACATCAGATACAATTATTAAGATATTTCCAACCTCCTTCACATAGGATCAGACTTTGGCTTAAAATGTGTAGGAAAGATAAGCATAATGGGGAGAGAAAAGTATGGAGCTGTTTGCCTCGACTTTGTTGGGTTTATTAAAAATCTGCCACTTGCATTATGTGGCCACAAGGGAGAACAAGCACATTAAACCTGCCAGTAACAGTGGACATCCCAAAAGGAGTTGGGGTCACAACTCCCATCCCTTCTGAACTGGCTGGAGGACAAGAGCTGAAGATTGAAGGGTGTTCAGTGGACCATCTTAAAGCATAAGATATATGCAGTATTTCCATCTCTCTCCATTAGCAGGTTGCCTTCGGACATTACACCACAAACACAGCAGTACTATTAAAAGCTACATTGAAACCTGTATTATTTATAGAAGCTCATCACATCCTGAGCATAAAATATAGATCTATGTAGGTGATATAGACAATATATAATTACCAGAAATGAGGTAGCCTGTAGTAATAGCAATATTCAGTTTCACAATTGAAGGGTCACCCCTGTAAACATAAAAAATGATGTACAGTTCCAGCCTTTATAATTAAAGGTTCAATTTGTACAGGACATACAAACATCACAAACCATTCCCCTCCCCCAGGGCCATTCATGCTTAACCCTGCCATGTAGCATCATAGGAATTTGGGTGCAGGGAGAGAAGTTGCTAATTAGGAAGACTGATTCCAAAAATAGAACATGTCTGCTTCCCCAGGGAGGCCAGCAGCAAGGATCATCTCATGCCTTGGGAAGCTGTCAAGGGAATAGAGCTGAAACTCAATAAGTCCCCTGGCAGACTGAGATGAACAAAGGCCAGCTAATACAGAGTGCTTGTCGGCACCTTTCCTAGCATTGTTAAACACCTCCTTTTATGCCCTATATCCTGCCCAAATTTTTTTTTAAACTTAGTTTTGGATGATAAGTACCAGTTGAGGTTTTTTTTAATCTCTATCATGAGATACCATGTGGACAGTGGACAGCTAAAGTATCATGGGAAAATTAAAGTTACTCTCCTGTAACCAAGCTACATATGAGGACCTTGGCACATTCTCAATTCATTCTTGGGATGTGCTGGAACTATAGCTTGGCTTGGTGGAACCTTCTAATAGCAGTGTTTACTGGTGCACTCTTGTGCCCCTTGCACCTCTCCTCATGTCTCCTCAGCAGGCAAGATGATAGAAGAATACAAGGTGTGCTACACCTTGGCTTTTTTAACCACCTCAAGGCCAAAGTTGTAATTAGGACTCAGAAAGATGGAGAGGAGGACACGGAGTATCATTATGCAGAATCCATCTCCAAAACCTCTGGCTATAGGTGAATAACCTTGATTTGTTCTTTGAGTGGCCTCTGCACATTCCTATTCTTAAGAGTCTGACTAGCAGTACCAAATTGTGCATCTGATCTAGATGCCACATGTAAGTTTTATGAAGTACAAATTGAGACTCTAAGTAAAAGCTATGCAGATGTCTCATATGGGGCTCTCTAAGGCAGGCTACAGGTGCAGCTGGGGTCTCACAGAATGCACTCTATGCTGTTCTGGAAAAGGTATATTTAACACACTCTTCAATACAGAGTCCAACCAACACAGAAAAATGTTGAGATATGA